TTGCTGCTGACATGCTCGAGTTGATGATGCTGCTGCAGCCTCGGGCTGGGACACGGACTCGAGCTACTCTCCCTACTTAAATAATATTGAAATTAATTATTTCTGATGGGAATTATTAAGTAATTTTTATGCGGCCCGCAAGCCTGTTCATTGGCTTTGTTTTGCTCCTTTTCTTAATTAATTATATTTATTAAATAAAATAATAAATTAGCGCTTGCACTTGTTGTTATGCTTGCTCCAATTAAGGAAGTGCCACTCCAAGAAAACGCTCAGGCCTGAATCGAGATCGAAACTGGAGTCCCGACCAAATTGGCTATCGGCTCGACCGGTTTCCTTTTAGCTCATTTTTTCCGTTTCTTGGCTTTGTTGATAACGCGCTTTAATTAAAAATCTGCATACATTTTTGGGCACTGCCAAGTCTCGATGTTTTTTCCCCCATCTGTGTTTTTTTTTTTCAGTTCGTTTTCTTTCTTCGAAGACACGCCGAAAAAAAAAAGAATATCGAAATCAAAAGCGGTGCAGGCTCTTTTATGACAGATCTCACTTTAAAGTTGACGTCCGAACTGTCAGAAAGTAACACTTGAAGTCTGTGGAGAAGCAGCAGTCCCCGCTCCCGCTCCCTTCCCCTGTCCCATGCTCTGCTCCTTCCTGTGGCTGTGCGATTTTCTGAATTCGTATTATTTTGGTGTCTTTTGATGTGAAGTGAAGTTAATTTAGCGAACTTCAACTGACACAAAAGAAATTGCTCAATGATATATATACTTGGACATTTAGAGTGGTACAAACACACATAAAGGTGTTGTATCTGTATAAAAGGGCAAGGGCCTCTCAAAAATGTGCAACCTTAAGCTGTAATGGCATTTTGATGAGACCGAAGATGTAACCCATCTTAGTTCAGTTCAGAACTACAGCCGACATGTGGTTAATTAGGATCCATTCCTCTGATCGATAAAAAATATACATTTTAATGGAATATACAGATTACCTACTCTGTCTGTCAATTAAATTTTATCATCGTATCGTATCATTATTCAATGTACAAATAACTACCCTGGCGTAATATTAAAAAATATCAATATTTAGTCATATAAATGTATTTTTGGGTTGTATTTTGAAGTGATTAAGTAACATACATAAGTATTTATGTTCGTCTTTGACAGCATAAATGTGCACTTTGGAGCTACAAGATGCCAAACAGAAATAATAAATAATTTTATATATTATGTTAAAAACTTTTTTCTATGAGAGCTATTTTTATTATTGATTGCATCTGGCATCTTTATTTTTGTGGGAATATCTAATGAAAGACAGTTCGTTTTTCCACGCGTATTCTTAATGGTTGGATCAGCATATTTTGAATAAAGAGGAATTTGACTGTTTCTTAAATTACAACCTTTAAATCTGACTGTTTCCTTATTAAGTTTGAACAGAAACTTGATCAGTTGTATACTATAAGTTAAGTTTTCATACGTATTGTTAATATTTACCTAATCATTAGCGAATTCTGAATCTATTTATATGAGAAATGTTTCCCATATGCTAATCATTTGATCTAGAGAGCCTAAAAAAAAGATAATTTGATTGCCACACCACAGAGAGTTCACTTCTTGAGTGCCCAAAGAGGGAGGGCTACGAACCTTTCACATTTACACATAATAATATTTTGTGCTTTGGTTTTTTGGAAAGTTTTACCTTACAAGATGCCTGTGAAAATGATTTAAGATTCGGAATAAGATGAGATCGGATGAGCTGAACTGAGCTGAGCTGAGATGGGTGGGGATGGGAATTTGTGTGATTCTTCCAAAGGCCCGTAAACAATTTGCAAATGGGTAAAGAAATGTGCGTCGTGGCTTTATCTTAATGATGCACAATAAAATTATGGCAGCAATCGGCAGAAATCAATAAAAGTCGTTGCCGTTGCCGTTGCCGTTGCTGTTACCCACTCGCAGCAGAGAAAGTAATTATTGGCTGGTCAAGTGGCTTCGACACCCATCAAAATCAACGGACGGCTCTTATCCGATATGAAGTCCATCGGGGCTGAGAGCTGCCGGATAAGGCGCGGCGCAGATGAAAGTCGCTTGGGGCGTGCGTTAGGATGGGCAGCCCTGGAATCCGTCTCCAGCCTCCTGGGGATGTGTGGTGGTGTGGCGGCTCGTTTGCGCCCATCGTCACTTGATTGAAGGCCCAGAATGCAGAAGCAGGCAACAAATCAACGCCAGGCCTCAGCTCCAGCTCCAGCTCTGGCCCGGACCGCAGAAAGATGAACCGCTTTTGATGCAGATTGCGGCAGGAAACCATGCAAACTGACCTACAGCAGCATTAAGAAGGAGAAGGAGCAGGAGCTGGAGTAACAGCTACAGCCGCACAGGAGGGATGCTCGTACCCGTCCCTCACAGTTTTATTGATGCAAATTGCACGCCCAGGGCCCTGTAATCAGCTCTGGGGCCGAGGGCTGTGTGCGTGTAATTTGAGCGACAAGTCGATCCCTTGCAAAAATCCGCATCTTGATGGCCGAACTGGGTCACATTTCGTAGCGTGGAGCTCAGTTCACTTAACTGCGATGATGGGGCACATAGCTAGAACAGGACGCCACCTAGGGCTCGTTGGAATCGTTTTGATTGACAGAACCTGTGTTTCTTCGATTCGTTCCGTTCGCCCTTCGCCCGGTTCGGCTTGAGCCTTGGCCTTGCCATGTAAGCAGCTTTAAATAGCTTCAATTACAGCTCAAGATTGCATAATGCTGGGGTTCGTTTCCCCCATCGTTTCCATCGGTGTGGCTGTTGCTCCTGCTCCTGTTTTTCCCCTTTGGGGCTTTGAATTAAATATATCTAGACATCGGACCGATTGGCTGACTGCCAGGCTGGCAGGCTGGCAGGCCGGCAGAGAGCTTGACGAACGACAACGGCAACGGCACGCCAGGAGGTCATGTCACAAAAATATCCATTAACACATCATAAAAATTAAAAATTAAGAAACCATACGAGTCGGCAATAAAACCGCAATGCCTGGTAAATAAAATATCTGTACAGTAAAATAAAAATGCCAAGGCATGCCAAGATAATCGCAGAGCCGACAGAGAGAGAGAGAGACACAGACAGACAGACAGACGGGGAGAGAAAAGTGAAACCGGTAATTATGCATTATGTATGCACGCCACCAACGCGGCGGATTAAAATGGGGAGACGTTGCTGGATCCGAAGAGAAGGAGCTGGAGAGCTGCAGAGCTGGAGAGCTGGAGAGCTGAGGAGCTAGGTAGCAGGATGGTCAGCCCCGAAGCTCCACAGAAGTCAAAGGGGAAGAGAAGGCAGAGATACCACAGGGTACTGGTACTGAGGTACTGAGAGCCAGCTTACTGTCTGCCCACGCTAAGTAGGAAATACATTTCTGCGCTTTTCGGCAATTTACGTGCCTTGGCGCGCGACCCGCAAACAAAAGACTTAAGCGACGAACCTGCAGTACCATAAATTTCACTTAATTGCATCAGGCAAAACCAGAATGCATCCAATCGATAAACAAAAAAACGCAGCCACAAATAAATGAGTCCAGCACGCAGGCGAAATGCTTAATGCCATCAGAGACAAAAACCAGACCAGTGAAAAATATGCAAAGCACATAAAATTAAGTAAAAACAAAAGACAGACACAGGCCCATACGCAGGCCCAGAGCCAGACCCAGGCCAGAACGTTTATCTCCGCTCCGATAGCGATTCCATTGAAATGAAATGCATGTAGAGCAGGGCTTGGTCTCTTCTTCCGGCTGGTACGAGTACACCGCACTGCACTAGTATCTTCTTCGTCAGCTGGAAATTTGTCTCCAGAGCTGCAACAGTAGCAGTGGCAGCATCATCACCATCACAGCAGCAGTAGCAGTAGCTCATTTTCATTGTGTTGCATGCGGAGCAGGGGCTTAACTTTTTTGAGGCAATGACAGTGAATATGCCACTCGTAATTTTGTGGTTCTCCATTTTTTGTTTTTTGTTTGCAGCCGCGTTGTAAGTGTTAAAGTCAACAATCGTGAGAAAAGAATTTTATTGTTGTTTCGCCTGGGCCTGTGTGTGGGGCTGCGCTTTTTTTCATTTTCATTTTTGTGTATACTGAAGGTCACTTGTGCCTTGATTGCTGCGGCCGCTGTTGACTTGAGCCGCCGAGTGGCTGCGATTTTGTGAAGTTGAATTCTGTTTTCGTATCTTTTTGGCCTTTTTCGACTCTACTCTCGCCTTTGCCGCATACGAGTATGATGCCTGCCAGCGAGGCAGCCGGAAAGCCAGAAAGACAGCCATCCAGCGGGCCAGCCAGCAGCCCAGGCCAGGCCATGCCAGGGCAGGCAGCCTTTGTGGCCGTATTTCTCTGGGTTATGTCTCCGTTTTTTTTTCTCGTATTTTGTTTTCTTATTCCTCGCTCTCATGTTAAATTGTCCGTTTCATGTTTCTGTTTAAATGTCAGTTGTAATTTGTTGTATTAACCCATACCACATGAATTATGTTTAGTTCGAATGTAATTGATTTGAATGCAATTTGAATGGCAACAGCAACAGCAACCACAATGGCAATATTAACAATAACGTCTACAGACACAGCCACAGCCACAGCCAAAACTACAGCCCAGCCACAGGAGCGTCGCCGGCAAGGCAAATTGAAAATTGCCCTCAACTTTGGCCAAGATTAAATGGAATTATGCAAAAGAGCTGCCTGGGAACAAGGCCTGATCGGAGCTAAAGCCACCACGAGTCGACTGAGAACTTCATCAAGAACTAGGTGCAGCGGGATGAGGTTGACTTCGCCTCCATGTGGCAATCACGGCAGAATGCAAACAGCAAATAAATCCCACTGTCTGTCCAGCTATCAAACTAAATAAGTAATAGGGAAATATTTGGGTCATTCCGGAAAATTTAAAGCTGAACTTTTTTTACTTGGCAATGTTGTTGTGTGTTGACAACCCTGACAAAAGTAGTCCTTGACAGCCCTTGTCATTATAGAAATTGAAATGATTTTAAAATTTATATATAATTAAGCCTACGTGGCAGGTATATTCATTCAAAATTAAACTCCATTCTGGATTTCTATGACTTAAATCAGCAGTTTCAGTTGACTATTCGACCGTATCACACAATTTTCTTATATTTTGTAAGTTTCAGACGAACAAAATTCGAAAATAAAAAGATCCCAAAGGAAATTGATACGCGAGTTCCGGGCAATGCATTTAACTGAGACCATGGCAGATAATGTGTGCATATTTTGCTTAGACGAACAGCGACTACCCCACCGGATACCCTGCGGACACTCGTTCTGCACAGAATGTTTTGAGCACTACCTGCAGGTGGGACTCGACACTCGCTGCCCCTTGTGCCGGCAGGACTTTCGACCCCACACAGGTGGAGGAGGGGAGCCGCCTTCCGATAATGCTCCCAACGTTGGGCAGTACCCTTTGGACGCGGATGACCGGGCTGACATGGACCTGATTGAAGACTTTGATTCCCTTTCCAGCATTGACACACTGCAGACGGACACTCTGTTGCTGACCCTCACGGACCAGGAGTGTCGGTTCTTCGACGAGCTCTACAGGGAGGCGCAACTGGAGGACGGACAGCGACTCTCAAACCCTCTGTAATGGATCACGGAAAGCCGAACTTTACGGCGCAGGAATGAAGCTTCTTCAGGGACCTATTTGGGCTGACGTAGTTGAAGGAAGAAAGCGGGAGCCGGAAACCGGACCTCTCCAGCTAGATGCTAGACTTTAGGAAGGACAAGGAACACGTGCTCCTGTTAGAACTGTGATATCTATTTTTTTTTTTTCTCTATCGTTAGTATTTAAGTAACTCATAACTCATTTATTTATTGCCAATAAACAGTGCTTCAGACATTCTAAGAAATTATATCATCAGCCATGTATGATGATGGGTTGTGTCCTCTTCGGGTAGAACTTTACACAGATATTAAATGCGATCGCACAATTGTGATTGACCGAACGCCCAGCAACATGTTCCATGAAACTGCTCGAATGAGCCACACCCTACGGGTACCATTTACACGAACGAAATCCATAAAATATATGAGCTCCCATCAGACACTAGTCAGACTCGGGTTGAACGAGCACACAATCAAGGCAAAAGCATTGCCATGTTCGCAGCTATCTGAATCTGCCTATCTGCTACCCAGTGACTGCTCCTCCATCTCCGGCTGCTAACGCTGGGCCATCGATCAGCATTTGTAGCTCCTGCTCTGGTCTAACCGATTCTGGCCGCGGCAGGCGCAACTTAATTAGACGCTTAGACTGGCTAATTGCCAGTCGCAGGATTGCAAGTCTGGTTGTGGCTGTGTCTGAAGCTGAGGCTGATAAATTGATAAACTTCGGCTGCAGATGAACAGCTAATGATGGCCATTAACAGCAGTGACAGCGGCAGTCGCAGCACAGCCGACTGAAAAATGGCGCAAAAATGTTTATTAAATGTTCATGACTGACCGACGCGTCGGTCAGTGGAGCAGGCAGGCAGGCCGGACCAGGCCTAGCCCAGCAGCACCCAAGAGCGGGCTCCGAGCTCAGCTCAGCTGAGTGCCTTGGCTGCATTTGTTTGTTTGTCTTTTTGGGTCTTTATCTCACGAATCATTTTTGGCTGGCCATTTTGACAGCGTTTTGAGTCAACAACATGGCGCATGCAGCAGATACAAATCTAAGCGGCGCATTATGCAATGGCAACGGCCATAGCCAGGGCGATCGTGCAATATACAAATGCTAAAACCAAAAACTATCTCATGGATTTGCGCAATTTGTCATCCTGGAATCAGCATCGGCATCGGAATCTGAATCGGAGTCGGAGTCGCTGTGGAGAAGAGTGGGAGTGGGGGCACGGGCACGGGCACGGGAATGGGCATGGGCAGTGCGTGTGTGCGGGCGTGGCCGTTGAACAGTTTTATTGATAAGGCTTGCCAGGCCAGGCCTGGCCCGATGTTGCATTTAGTTGGCCAATTATTAATGCCTGTTGTCGCCGGTCTGCGTGTAATTTGTGGCAGTTGTACCAATCGCTGCCGCTGGTGCTGCCGCTGCTGTTGCTGCTGTTGCTGCAGTTACTGAAACGCGATACATATTGGCGATTGCTCATTTATGAATGTCCAGGCGATGGCCGCGATGTTCGATCGTCAATCTTCGAACTTAGCCACGCTTACATGTGATTTAACAAGCTAACAAGCAAGCGGCTTTATCGCCGATTAGCTGCACTCGATAAGAAGGGGCTTGGGGTTGGGCTCAGGCTTAGGCTCGGGTAGCCGCAGCCGTTGCCGTTGCCATTGCCGCAGTCGTGGCTGCCAGAAAAGTTCATTGATCGCGGCTTTCAACAGCTCGACTGAAGCGGTGTGTGGCACCATGCAACATGCAACATTTTTAGCATTTTTATTATCGCAAGTCATTTGTCAAATTGCTAAACTGACATTAAAGCCGCCTTTCCTGTGGGCTGATAAACCAATTTGACATTTCGCGGCGATGATCGATGGATCCCGCGCGCTGGATCCCGGGAGTGAGTGCAGGCTGGTGACATTTTTGCGCCAATTTCGGTCGCTGGGCCATCAGTTAAGCCAAAGCCACATCAGGCATCAGACCTCCAGACCTCAGAGTGCAGCAATTCGCATTTTTCGCTTTCAGTTTTCCTTCAGCTCTTTCGGTTTAAGGTTTTTCGGTTTCTTCGGTTTCTTCGGTTTCTTCGTTTGGCGTTTGCATGCGTGGGAGTTGCACGAACTGTGTCGTTAAATAATGCCCCATGTTTGTCCTGCACGAGACCCGCGAAACACAGCCAGCCCGAAAACCAAACCAAGCCAAACAAAACGAGCAGTCCAACAAACAGACCAACAACAACTGGAACTGGTTGGCCGGCGACGAGCGCGGAAGCGCTGCTAAAATGGCAACTGGAGCAGCGTTTTGGGTGGCCGGACGGATCGGGTAGAGTCCTACCTGGGTTGGGGATGCGAGACCCGGGGACCTGGGGGCCGGCCTTGCATTTGATGTTGATGTTGCTGCCGCCGCTTTGTTTAATTGATAGACGACGACGACCCACGCTGCGGCGGCTTCAGCTTCACCCAGACCAGACCATGCCACGCGGCAGTGGCACGCGATGGCTGCTGCGACTGCTGCGGCTGCTGTTGCTGGCCTCTCTTTGCCAGGCCGCCCGCCAGTGGCAGAAAACCCATCGAACTCAAACTGTGCGCATGCGCGCATGCGACGCGATGCGACGTTGCGGCGTTGACAGATTGATGCCCCCTAACAGTGGAAGTCAGGGCCCCCGCTTCATTATTCAAATTACTTGTGTGTTTGTGCGGAATTTATCAAAGTCCTCCTGCAGCAGAAGAGGGAGAAGGCAGCAGAAGGCAGAAGGCTAAGAGAGAGAATGGGGCATGTGGGCCACTCGTTTTATTGTTGTCGTTGTTGTTGCTGTTTGCTGTGTGTGTTTGTGTGTTCGCGTGGGCGTCAAATGTTGTTTTCCTCTGCTCGAAATAAAACTATTTGCAGGTCAGTTAAGATAAGTCTTTGGAGCATGTAGTACGTCCCAGACAAGTCCAACTTTCCTTTTGGCTAAGGGCAGCCGCTCATTCAGCAGCAGCAGCAGCGGCAGCCTCATTCGGCAATGGTACTGAAACAGCAACTGCAACTGGAACTCGAACTCAAAGTCGAAGTCAAAGTAGAAGTCGAAGTCGAACTGGAGCTGTAACTCTTACTGGAAATGTCTGCAACTGGGTGTGGCATAAATTCTCATAAATCTATGGCCCAAAAAATCAACTCGTGTACGAGTGAGTGTACATATGTAGATGGAGGTACATACATATGTATATATGCTTGGCCGGAGTAATTAAAGCAGTTTAACATGTCTCAGTTGGCCAGTTTTTGGAGCTGTCACAACATCAACAAGCCTTCATTCATGCACTGCGACAGCCTCAGCCACAGCCACAGCCACAAGCACAAGCCAGCCAGTTAGCAGTCAGTCAGGCAGTCAGGCAGTCCGTCCGTCAGTCATTCGGTCAGTCAGTCATTCAAAAGCCAGCCAAAAACTTGCCATAAATCAACTCATTTGAAATGCATCAAAGGCAGCAATCAGAAACAGAAACAGTAACAGTTACAGTCACAGTCACAGTCGGACTGCCCCAAAAGAAAAAAAAAACGCAGTCAGTTGCACAAATATTTTTACACGTTGCCAGCCAGATTTTCAATTGAAATTGAAATTGAACTAAAAGTGACAATGCGCGGGCGGGGCAACAGCCAAAGAAACAACAACAAAACCCCAAAAAACGCTGTTCAACTGTCGATGCTGGGGCGTGTTGCACAATGTGTGAAAACAGGATCAAAGTCCTGCCTAAACATTTGTCAACCCAGCGGCGTTTATATAATCAACGATGCCATGCTGACGTTTTTCTTTTGCTGCCCCTTTTTTTTGTGTGGCTGTGTGCCCGCTTTTGTGGCATGAATATACACCAATTAAACAGTTTGTCTGCATGCAACGAACATGCATCAATCAAATGCCTGGGAGGACAAACATGTCGTCAGTCGGTCAGATCTGAACCGGAGCTTAGCTCCACTCTGATTTAACCAAAAAATATGCATTCGAGGTAGGTTCCATCAGTTTTCAATGGTACAAGACAGTGCTGCATGCCACCGTTTGTGGCAGCCCTCGCATTGCCCTAGGAATGCCAACACAAATGCAAATGCAACGGCAGCAGCAGCAGCAGCCGCAACTCTTATGACAGCCGCTTGTGCCACAACTGCCCCTGCCCCTGCCTCTGGGCTGGAGGCGTGGCTTTGAGAGTGCTGCTGCGAGCTGACTTGGTTATTATTAGCACCGTTTGGCCAGTGCTTAATTGATTTGGTTGTTGGCCATGTTAATTGACAGCACGCACGGATGTAACATTGCGATAGCCGCCTGACACAGGCCAAAACCAAAACTACTCGCAAAAGACTGAAAATCGAAAATCGAAAAACCAAAAACCGAAAACCAAAAGCGCAGTTAGTTGGCCAGTCAGTCAGTTGTCAGTCAGTGAGGCAGTCACCAGTCCAATCCCGTCCCATACCGTCCCGTCCAGTGCAGTCCAGTCGAGTGCAGACTGAAGTCAGTCACTGCTCCCACTGCAGCTCGCGGCTCGCAGCTCCTGCGACTGACCATCGAACGGGCAGCGGTTAAAGGGGTTTTATGGGGCTCAACCTCAACTTGCAGCCAGTCGGTAAATTTCACTTATCAAGAGCGAAACAATTAACGGCAGTTGCACGAGTTATAAATATAAATGTCAGGATGCCAGACACTCCAGACACTCCAGCCTCCGAGCCCTGAGATTCGTGAGCATGTTGACCCACATGCAATTGGCAACTGCCAGCAATTTGCCACCTCAGCGAAAATTATGATCGCCAGCATTTCCTATCCCAGATAAGGCGACTCAACTTATGCACAAATGTGGATTGTGACTAGCTTGACTCTCGCTTGGATTCGACTCTGACTCCATCTCCATCTCTGACTCTGTCCCTGTCTCTGGCTCTGACTGTGACTCTAACTGCAACTGCAACTTCCCACAATTTCCACACAAAGTCAACAGCAACATTTTCGTTATAATTTCTATTATTTTCCCTTTTGGCATAATTGCAGACAATTTACTTAACGATCAATAGCGTCAAACGGCAGGCAGCCTGCCTTTCAGGCTGGCATAGACATCGAAAAATTTATTAGCTCCCGCAGCTTCAGCTCCAGCTCCAACTCCAGCCTCAGCTTTAGCCTCGTCTTGGCCATGTGTTGGCCTCTTGGCAACACACAAAATGTTGCCAGCAGTCAATGATGCTGGCTGATGCTGATGCTGCATCCACATCCGCGTGAGAGCCGCTCATCGTGCCCGGTTTTCTATC